CTGTAATTTTACTAGCCAGTGTTGGTGATTTGCTTTTCTTTTTAAGTAACGAAAATAAATTGAGGAATAGCTAAACGACTAGTACCTATAATAATATCAAAGACTATGTAAGTTAATATATTATTAATTAAACAGTCATGATAAATTTATAGATAATACTTAAATTATTTAACTTGACAATGAATAGATTTTACGATTATGTGTGATTTTTTACATCATATTATACTGTACTATATTTTACCAGTACCTATAAAGTAAACTAAAATATTGTATTTATTGACAGGGAGGTATTTTTTTCATTTTAATTTGTTTTATTATTTGTATTTTGTCTGCCTATGGTATATTAAGAATAACTAATTTTAATTTGCCAAAAATATATAGATAGTGACTAGGGTTACAACAGGCAAGCTATAATTTTTTTCATGGCTATAAGTATGGGTTTAAAAAAACAACGCATCTTTTTACGCATAACCTACCTATGTAATATGTATCTATTTTTAATTTTTAATTCAACATGTTTTCGTACTGCGTCCGACTTATAGGAGTGATTATTACATAATTTTATTTTTGTCGGATCTTACTTCGTCTTCAGTCGACTCCGGTCGGTCTGTAGAGTCAGCGGCGGAATAATCGCTCGTTGTGTCGTCAGCTTGACATGTCGCGGCGACCAAGGCGGCCAAAAGTATCGCGCGCAATAGCGCCCGCACGCTCATCACGACAAAACCACCGACGTTGCTTTACGACCGTTCCACAGACATCCGACGGTCGTTTCCGTTATCCGGTTTCTGAAAAATAAATGCAACAACACAATATTATGTATTTACATCGGCTAATAAAACTCATGTAGCATAAATTCCTTGTGTAAATGTATGGGTAGTGTGTTTATTCGTGATGAGGTCTATAATGTTATTATGTTTTCTTTGATTTTGATCGGCATTCGTGGCATAAACTGATTATTTACCGTTTACTAGTTTCTCTGCGATGCTTATCGACTAAGGAAACATAGTAAATACTTAGCGAATTTATGACAAATGTCGCATCCGACGTGAATAATATATTTACTACTTAATTTAAATATGTTTATGACTACTATTAACTAATTTTTTTTATAGCGAAACATATATTGAGTGTATTTACGTCTATTTTGTTTTCGAATGTTTAAACTTTCACATTTTCAGTTAGGTACTTTGATAAAAAAATATAAAAAACAAAAAGTAATGCTTTTATTTTTAAAATAATGGTCGTTTCCAACTTAATATAATGATGGTTGTAGTTGAAATGTATTCAAGAAAATAAAAATATGTCTTGTTATTAATTTTACAATTCGGTTAATGTTCCGTAAAAAAAAATAACAATTTAATAATATTTTATAATAATTTAATACAAAATATACATTTCTGTAGTGGTTTTAAATAAACTAAAAATAAACAGGGTTCAAAATAATAGTAAACAAGTGTAGCTCAATGTAATTAGATATGTAAAAATATGTCTACCTATTATAATATTAGCCCTGCAACTTACAAGTTGCAACTAATCTACAACCATAACAATGTTTCAGAACTACGTGTGATTTTAAATTATTCTATACATTGAAACTATAGATACTTATACACCTAATAATTCATTAAATAATAAAACATCAAATACGTATTGCTTTAATCATTTTATTTTCAGATAAAATTGATTGGGAAAGAAAACCATACAGAAGTATAGAATTGTCATCATACTCGACATACTCAATAACTAATTAGTAAAAAAAATGATAATGTAGTCTATGGTATTATTTATATTATAATCCTTTTTTCGGGTTGTCTAACTTACCGATGATACATACACTATACGATTGTTGTGACTTCTCGACAGTAAAATAATAATTTATATAATTTTTTGGATCTCTCCTATAAAGTTTTGAAATAATAACATTATGTTTATATTGGATACATTTTAAAAATCAGTTATTAATAATAATTTGTACTACTTGTTCCACTTAATACCTTTTGATATCTACTGTCCAGTTAAGAAATACATCAACATTCAAAATAATACCTTCTACTATTTTAATAAAGTATACTAAGCCACTAGGGTTTTTACTCAGTTTTCCCTCTAGTGTTTTAATAATTATGTTTAGTTGTTTATAAATGCATTCATCAAAATATATTGAGGAACAGTAATCATTGACAGAATATATTTATGTATCAAGTTAATTGTCTTGGTAAGTGTATTGTCTTGGTAAATACTAAAGTAGGTACCTTTTTTTTCCAGTTCAAGAACCAGGAACGGGTGGGCACTGTTCATCACAATACTGCGCCACACAAATACTTAAGTACCTACCTATAATTATGTTGTACGACAATGATTAGATCATACAGTCAAATGTCTTAAATCAATACTTCAATTTATTGAAATCAAAGTTTTAGCTTAATATATAATAATGTAAATTATATATTATAGTCTTAAATTTATTATTAAAATATATTTTAGTATCTTTCAAATATTTTTATAAGAGTTTCAATTAAAAACAAAGTCTAGAAAATTTAGATATTAACCTATTGTAACATTATTATAACATTTATAATGATTAATGATTTATGTATTTCGATGATCTTTTTATTTTTTTATTTTTTTTTTTAACTTGGGTCATACAGTACCTACTTATGCATATTATATATGTCAGTAGTCTTTATTTATTTTTATTTAAGGTTCATTGCCCATYTTAATCGTGGATCTTAGACAACTGTGGCTAACGAGAATAATATGTAACTCGATCAGAGTTGCTTACCATAACGTCTACACTTTACAGTTTGTACAGTATTAGAATTTAGAGTTCGTGTTACAAATATTTGGAACTCGCGTCGTATGCTATCTACATGAAAAATGTATCAACCACAATATTGTTTGTTGGCGTTGTATGTTATCTACAATTATCTACCTTGCAATCTGTAAATTGTAGGTTTCGTCTGGGTATCTGGACATTATTACGTTAAAGAACTTTTTTTCATATCTTCAAAAAATGTTTCAAAAAGATTCTTGGATGCATTGAGTGAACGTCACCACTCTTCCATCAACTGCCATTCCAATAAGTTGTTGGTACCACGTGTTWTTATGCCAYAATGTTTTACTTTGACACTTTTTCCATTTATGTCAACTTAAGTAAAGAACTCATTTTGTTTTCTGATGGACTCAAATATTTGGCATCCTTTCTTCTGACAACGTAAACACTTTTCTATAATAACTTTACATTCTCCATCACTTTTTTGAGTATTYTTCATATATTCCTTAATAGTCCCTCCATATACTTCATTATTTGAATTTATTTTTTGTCATGCTTTAGCAGTGGGMAAAACACCATGTTATTTTCAAGTTTTGTCATTTTAAATAACATTTCTATAAAAGTAAATAMAATTKTTCATTTTTTTTCGACAAAAAATAATTTTTTAAGTACACACCACTTTTACGAGCCAAACCATAAGTTATATATCTACTAACTATGATATGTGTAAAGTGTATAGGCTGTAGAGTGTATTATAGATGCTTATAATTATACGGTTATAGTGGTTATACTTGCAATATCAGTCCCAGTACAAAGTAGTTATCAACCGAAAGGAAGATAACATATAACGTGATGAAAGTACAGGTAGATAGCATACAACGCGAGTTCCAGTAATTGTTTTGTGCTTGTTGTTTTATTTTAGTGCTTTTACTCTTTTTTGAATTTTTGATTTGAGATTAGCACTATCCATTCTCRTATGTTAAATTGGTCTCAGATTTTAATTATTATTTTTTATTTTTCGTATGGCGCTATGTCCGGGAGTAGGCCCGAAGGCCTAGTTCGGACGCCTGTTTGGCAGAATTTCTATTGGGGCACCTGTAGGTTTCTGCCATGCCCCGGAGTGGAGGATGGCGGCACTTGTTCTCCGGACACCATGACTTTCCCGGAGAAAAATGCCGCCCGATGGTCGAGGATMGAACCCGGTCCGGCTGAGCCACAGCCGACGCGTTAGACCACTCGGCCACCTCGTAATTATGTATACTCGCATTGCCTATAGCCTATGGGTATATTGTATGTACAATTWAAAAAAAACATATTAGTATTTGATATAATAATATATTTACWTGTAAACAATGAACAGACGTCGCTTAAACTAGGTACGAAACATGTACTACTGTTTGTCACATGTTGATTTTTGGATAACCATCAGTTTATAATTTGATAAATTATAAGATATCTGGTATTTTAGTCGATAAAATATTATCTATATTAGTCTATGTTKTACAGTCAAGATTGTCTAAATAATATTAGAAAAACAATATTACGAGTATTGTGAAATAAGTAAATACAGGTACATATGATGAAATATGTAAAAAATAAGTATTTAATTGAAAATCATGCGAAACAAATKTATTACTTGTCTTAATTTATTAATTCACTTTGAAAATATGTATTTACATAAAAATCCTAGCCCCATTTGTCAGTTATATCTAAAATTTCATTTCTTAATGTGATTCACCTAGTTAATCCATTTATTTATAATTCAATAACAGGAAAAAAGTTTCCCTTATACAGTTATACACTTATATTCCATAATCACGATAACTTATCGTAGTAATAATAAAAATACAACTGATCATTCACCATTAAGAAAAAAGATATTTGAATCTAAGTAATGTCTTGTTTGAGCATAGTTACRTCAATTACTATTTTTTGTTACTAAAATATTTTAAGAACTATTTTTCGTTTTGTTGTCCTACTTCCCACTTGTATTTGAGGTGGACATTTTTTTTTAAATCGGATATTTATACGAAACGAGCAATTCATTCCTTAATAATGAAATATTAGTTCATATTTACACCTGTTTATCACAGGTTTTTGATGGCTTAAGTTAGTTCATTTTTTCAATTCTACATTTCAACAATTTAGGCCAGTTTCTTTGTCACTATTTTATATTGGCCAAATCGTAAAATTCATAGACCGTAGCGAAATCTAAGTAATCGTCAGATTATAGTATTAAACTGATTATAGTAATTGAAATTGTTTATGTATGTGTAATGACTTCTTTTACATATATACATTATTCAATGAGTGTGTCATTTTCGTCTATTAAATCTTCAATTTAAATAGAAACCACCTAAAATCATATTCAATGATACGAATTTTTTATAAATAACTATTTTCCATCTAATAAAATTAAATATTTCATATGCACTCACACCTAGTTTTGTCATACTTTGTGTATTGTATATATTATATGTTTACAGTTAATACCTATTCATAATGTATCACTTTAACCTATTTACTAATTGATAAATTGTATCCRTCACTTTTTATATCTTATCTATACTTGATCTATCAAACTACACTCGGAAAACATAATACATTGAATCATTGACACGAATGTATATTTACATACCTACATAGTATTATGTGATATGTAATTTACTTATCGTTCATTACATGTTTATTCTAACAACTAACTTATATACCTGATTCGTGAATAAAATGTAAAATCCATTATTCTTAAACATTCACTGACTTCTTTGAGATTCGTAACTTATACTMCCTAGCTATCACTAAACTAAAAACTTGTTTTATATTTATGGGTGTTGCGTCTGATGTAAATTGCAACAATAAAATGCATGTTAACGCATATAAAACTGTTCGTTTTTTATGGGTTAAATACCATTGACATAGAAAATGCTTATCATARTTATATCAAGTACATGTGAATATGAAATAAATGATAAATAATTGCAGTACCTACCTACTTTATAATATGTAAAATATAAA